GCCTTCTTTCCCCCCCGTGTGAGACCCCTCCCCGGGACTCTTCCCGCTCCTTCGGCAGCCCCTGAACGGCGCTCTGGTGGGATGGAGCTGTGGCCTTGAGGCACAGAATGGGAGGAGGAGCCTCCCGGAGCCCCCCGCTTCGCCTCCTTTGTCGGCGTGCGAGAGAGGCACGGGTCGCGGGCTCTCGGGCGGCGGGTAGAGACACCTCAGGTCTCCGAGCTAGCCTTTTAGCCACCTTTGTATCGCTGGCTGCCGGTTTAGACCCTTTAAAGTAGATCCCAGTTCCTTGCAGGCTCGTTTTCCTTGAAGCGGGCATCTCCTCGTTACCCACTCATGAATTTGATTTTGAAGAAAGAGAGCAGAAGAAGGCTGAAACCTCAAATCCCCTCCTGAAATAGTTGATTGAGAACAAAACAAAAGCACTTGCCACAGAATTTCAGCGTATGTCGCCCATTGAGGAGTTTTCATTTAGTGGATGCGATGTGGCTAGTCTGGTGTAGGAATCTCCACATTGTCCGCGAAGCAGATGGAAAACATACGTGTCGATATCGGTTAAGTTCTGAAGTGTCACGTTCTTAATTAATTTTCAGCTGAAGACAGTATGCTGAAAGCAATGATTGATGTAGAAAGCACATCACTTCCAGTTCTTGTAAACAATTTTCTTAATATGTAGTGTTTCCTTAATTGAATTTTTCAGATCTCAGCTTACAATAAATACTGCGATTGTTTACATGCACAGGTTTTATATGCATCATTCCTTCACAAAATTTAATCGAAATGTAAGTACGTTTTTAGCTGTGGTAATAATATGCTCATAATTGTGGTAGTCTAACTGACAAGTGTTATATTCCTTTGCTGGATTGTGAAGTTTGGTCTGTTTATAGGAATTCTAGTTTCTTATCAGTGGTTTACAAGCAATAATGATATTTCTTTTCAACTTTGATTTTTTTTTTTTAACTACTGGCAATTAGATTTTATCTTCTGCCATCGAAATATAAAAATAGGCACCATCAGCAAACACATTTTGGATGTGTGAAGAATGCATTTAGATGTTTCGAATCTGGCTAGTGCTTATGTGCTGTAGTTTGAAAGGCTGATGTGTAGGAACACACATTTTTCTTAACATAGTCGGTGGCAGTGTTAGCATGGTGTGTCTGACAATTATAATATGGTTATGTGTGTATCCATATGGATTATGTATCTGTTCCTAGAAAACAGTGTAAATTAATTTAACTAGTCTAGTCTTAAGCAGCTTGAGGGTAAGTCATATTAGACAAAAAAAATCTTTAAGTCTGATGAGAAAATGCTGTCACTCCTGTTTCAACTGATGAACTGAGTATGCTGAATCTGAATACAGTATATGTTAGGAAGAAATGAATTCTGCTTTAAAAAAATACTCTCTGTAAATGAGTGATTTTCTAAGAGGAATGGAACTTGAGATTCCAACCTGAAAATTTGAAGCCTTTTTTATGTCCGGTATTGGATGCAATAGTTAGAAAAACAGTAATATAATATTCTAGGTATTGTTGTGTTAAATTACTTTTCATCAATATTTTATACTAACTTTGCAAGAATAGTTAATGGTGGTGGTGGTAATATATCACTAAGTGGTGAGGATGAGTTTTGTCAAATCATGGCTTTTTGTGATAAAATAAACAGATTGAGACTGTGACAGATGTTATGGTCTAGACCAGAGCAGACCTTGGTCTGCCAAGGGGGAGAATCTTGCAAACCTTGCCCTGTCTGAAATTTGGGCAGGTATGCAGTGGGTTACAGTGTTAGCCTGCTCTTTTGTCTGGTGCGAATTTGTTTGTTGTTGCTGGTTGAGCAAATGGACATCTTATTTGGCAAGAAATACTTACGGGTTTGTAGGTATGTTTCAGAAGTGTACTTAATTATTTTTGTGCAAAACCTGAGGTAAACTCGAACTTGCAGCAAGCTGGTTACCAAAACAGGTCTTTATGCAATTAAAACTGTGTTTAAGTACAACCAGAGCGAAGTGTGCATAAGCCTGCAACACTCCAAATGGAAGAAATATATAATGTAGGTTTTGTTTATGTAGTGATAGAGAATTATGTATTGAATGGATATACATATCAAAATGTACTTTCCTAAAACAGCTTTCTAGTTTTAGAGTAAGAATAGCACACGTGAGAATCAAGTTCCAGCAAGCTTTGTGGTAGAATATGCCCTTTTAAAGTGTTTCTGTAATATACCAGGAGAAGACACTTGTTCCGTCTTTCTCCCCTCCATGTACCTGCCCATGTTGCAGTAGGCAGTGGAAGAGGAGCTGGTGACGCATCTGAAGTCTTCTGTGACTGTGGACTTGATCAGCTAGGCAGAGCTGCTTGGAATGGAGAGGTCACTCTGTGTAGAGCTGCTGTAGTTGGGTCTTGCATTCTATACATCACCTGCTAGATTACTGTTTGTATTATCATCTGGTAATCTAGGATAGATTTAGGTAGCAAGAAGCTTTAGCTGCTGTGTTTGGGTTTTCACTGGGCACTGGAAAATGCAGGTCACTTGGAACTGGAAGCACAGCAGTACTGGGATATATAGTGCCCTTGTTATGAAAACTACGCCTTACGTTGTATTTATGAATCTTAAAATTCACAAGTAAGCTATGTAAGGGCTGAATGCCATGGAAACTGCAACTATTACGGGGGAGAGTGTATTGTTAAATTAATTCTCAGGTAATAGTATTAAAATAAAAGTTAAAGGCAAGTGCACTGCAAGTTAGCATTCAGTAATACTGATTCCTTCTGAATTACTTTCTGTAGTTCTTAATGAGGTCGGCAAGGCTGGTCAGCTTTGTGTTTGTACTGATGGGCAAGTGCATTTTCTTACTTAGATTCCTATAGGGTAAAGGGGGTGGTCTCAAAGTGAATGTGAATCACTCTTAAAATACTCTCAAACCATCTGGCAGGTTCTCTGCAGAGAAATCAAAAGCCAGGGACTGTAATAAATACTTAATATCAAATCTCCAGAGTACTTGGCAAGCTAAAAAATGTAACAATATTCATCCACTCCTAGAAGAAACCTTAGAAATTAAATAGTAAGATACTGGCAGACTTGAAGCTAAGACCTAGCTAAAATTTTCTACAGTGTATGGAGTATATGTCTAGTATTTCTTTGTGTGAATGTAGTGATGCTTATGCATGGCAAGAAGGAATCTGAAGGCTAGGGTTAGAAAATTAGATGTCCATTAGTCAGAGTGCCTTATGATCCCCAGCTGAAAAAATGTAGCCTTTGTTTTCTTGCTTTATTGGTAGGTTAATGGTTTTAGTCAAGTATAAACACCTGCATGTTTATAGACATATAATTGCTGGGTTATACAAATACATGTCTTACATATGTCACGTGCACTTAATTTTTCATAAACAGGTCTTCTAGTGGAAGCTCATTTACTGAATATCTGTTGTCTTTATTCTTCCTTTTTTTTTTCTTCATTATAAGTTACTGCTAAACAATTTTACAGGCTTTCAAGACTTGGAGTCAGCTGTGAGTAGGGAACAGAATTCCCAACAGTATCTTCAATCAGTAGAGCTATAGGGGTGGCACATACCATTTGATGTAGTCTTGGTTCATTTTGAATGTATTACATTTACTACCCTAATCACCAAATATCCTTATTTTTGTGAAGCTACTGTGGGCTAGCAAGTCACTTTTGAATTGCTATGGATTATCTACAAAGTACATACATTTAGTTTCAACGAAGGATGTTTTGGGGCTTTGACATTGCAATTAAAGTAGGTTAAGACCTTGCGAGGCAGCTGTGTCCCTGTAATAGGGTGGAAACTTGCTTTACCAATTCTGGTAAGCAGAATTGGGTGCCCTGGCTACTAATTTTCCCTAGCCATGCAAGTGAAATTTCAGGAACTACTATGAATCTCTTTAGCAGTAGTACAAATTATTCTTTCTACATTACTGTTGACCATGGGCATAGTAACTTTGGTTTGTTGAATATGAAGTTAGCCAGTGCTAATATTGGGGTGGGGAGTGAGCTTGCTGGCTTTTTATAGCAAATACTATCCTGACTTTTACCCTTTAAAATATCTTGAAAATTGAAATTCTTCAGGAAATACTGTTTCTGTAGTACTCAGTGTGTTTGATATTGTTATATAGCAAATACCTCCTTTAGAGGATTATTCTTCAGTACACTGTGATTTGAAGAACAGAGAAGGGAGAAAAATCCTTGGTATGCTGGCAATGAGAGGTAAGGCATCCAATTGGCAGCTATATTTTAAAATACAATCCTTAGAAATGCCGTGTTGAATACCAAACAACCAGTTGAAAATATACGTGATGATGTCAAGGGGTTTTTTTGTATGACATACAGTGGAACTTAGTAAAGTGCCTATAGAAGGCTGCAGGAAGAATTTTTTCTCTTAAGTGCAAGGTAGGCGAGTTGTGTGGAGGTTTTTTTTGTTTCCCATCCCTCTGTATTCCCTTCCTGTCTCTCATGCCCTGTCCAAATTGCAGTATTAAACAATTGACTACAGTTGTGCAAAGTTCTAAAAACTTCCATAATATGCATGATAGCTTTAGTGAGGCTATTTTGGACACTTCAGTTCTGTTTTTAATCTTGCAATTTAACATATTTGCTGTTTTTATGCAACGTGAGCTCCTGGTTATATTTAAAAAAACGTTGCAACTGTGTTTGCACTTGAAAAACCTCTGTCATAGACTGGGGCGTCTTAATGTCTTAGACTAATGTGTATCAAGTCTGAAAACATACTAATATTGGCATTAAAAGGGAGAGGGAGTTCTCAGGGAACTATGTGCATGTATTCTGAGATTATTCCAAATGGCTTTGTTGTAGCAACACTGTTTTTACAATGGCTTGTACTTTTTGAGTGAAAAACAAGAGTTGTACCACATTTACCAATAAAACTTGCTGTATGATGCTCTTAGACTGTCATAATAAGGCTGTCATGGTTTGGTTTTTCTATTTCAGTGGGATTTGGTTTCTGAGGCTCTTAGCTAGTACAAAAATGGGATTTAATTTCATAAATCATATGCGTTCTTCTGGACATATTTCTCAAAGTCTTAAATAATATTTTGGGTGCGTGGTAGATAGCTTTCATTTGTTTTACGTCAAATGAAGATGTTTATAGGAAGCTTACAGCTTTGTCAAGTCTGTATCTTTAATTTTGCTTTTTTTGTTCTAATTTAATTTTTCTGTCATTTTTGAGAATTGGAAATGAATGAAAGCATTTGAGTAACTTTGCCAGTTATATGCTTAGCAGGGTGTGTCGTCTTCACTGAAGAATGTATGCATGCCAAGTCTGAGATTTTATTAGGATGTGTATTTTCCTGAGTAAATACCAACGGAGACAAAAATACTGACCTACTCTAATCTGGGAATGAGAACTGAGACAAAGACCTGAAATTCTTGGGCAGAAGCCAATACTTCTTTTTTTTTTTTTTTTTTTTTTTAAGGAAATAGATAATTGGGGTGTACATAGATTTCAGATGAACCAGAGTTAAGTGCCAGTTAATCAGTTTGACTTAAATCATCCTCCAGAACTGTGTTTTCTGTGAGGTCTTGGAGGTCAGGAATTATGTGGAGACTTCTTGGCCAGAACTGATCTGTTCAGTAAACTGGAAAATATCCTCAAGTCAGCCTGATGAAGAAGGTGCTTTTTTGGAATGAAGTAAAACTTTAGTGCAGTCAAAAGTAGAATAATAGTGAGTGAGAATTTTCTGATGATTTAATTGTGCAGTTATTGGTGACTTGGTTCAAAGAATGTCTCTGTGAAATGTAAATATTTTCAGTCATCGTAATTGTTGGAAATTGGTTTTTCAGAAAGGTAAATTGTGAAAATTGCATGCATGTGTAACTGTACCCCCAAACTGTGTAGAAAGAGACCGTGTGTTAGGATATATTTGAATTGAACTTGTACACAAAGCTAGAAAAACCGGAAAGTGTGAGTGTAGGTACTTGGGGATAACTGAGACGTATTTCAAGTAGTATGTTCCTAGCAAAGGGAATTTATTCCAGGATTTCAAATCAGTGCTTCAAGCAATGTGGATAGGAACTTCTCAAAAATCATCAGTAGTCTTAAATGACAGTGGTGATATGGCCTTGTTCAGCCGCATCTGACTCCAGGTTTCTATTTCATTGATTCGAAAGGCTTAAGTTACAAGCTTCTTAAAAAGAAAGCAGTTCTTTTGTCTCTGCTGTGGAAGAACTTGCTCCCTATGGCTTATTTTGGGTGGTTTGGGTTTTTTTAAATACTAGATGTCTTCATGGCACACTTCTACGCATCGAAGGGTATCACCTTCCCATAGTGTCAGTTTTCTTCAAGTCTGCCAACTTAAAAGTTTTACTTAAGATCCAAGTGGACATTTCAAAGTGATTTAAGGAGGCAAAAAGTACTCCTTCAATATGTTTGAAAGTTCCTGAAATGTAACGGGTAATCACTTAAATGTTCAATTCTAGTTTGTTGCAGTTTTTACTATATTGTGAATTTTCATACCAAATGTTTTATTTTGGCACAGGAAAGGGCTACATACTAACCAAAAACCCTCCTCACTTTAGGGGAAACTATGGCTGCCTTTCAGTTCATTCAATCTAAATCTACTTGGGCATTGAATGAGAAATCCAATACCTGCACTGCTTGCACCATGCGTTAATTAAACACTGGACAAGCAGCTACTTCAGTCTGAATAAAAGCTTTATACTGGTTTAATTTTAACCAGTTTAATCTGCTGATGTTTTCTTGAAGATTTCTCCTGTCATTTTAATTTGTTTAACATGGCCAACATTGCATACAAAGAGGACCCTGATTCCTCAAAGTCATTTATGGTTAGCCCTGTTCTGTGTGTAGATACATCAGTCATTCTATCTGATAACTAGGCATCAAAACTGTACTTCATAGCTAACTCCTAGGTGGTACTGAACTGTGAATGGGTGCTTTGCTGCCAGCTTATGGTGCCTAGAGTTTTATAAAAAATGTCATCTTTAAATGTAATTTGTAGTCTTTACTAACATTTGATGTAACTGATGTTTTGTGAATCCTTGTGTTTTGTTCACCAGATACTGCTGGGTATGTATTAAAGTTTCTAAGAGTAAGCTTTTACTTACACAACCTATGTTTGTATAACAAGCTCTTTTCCTTGAAGGTCTCTGCTAAGTTTCTTGCTTTTTAGGAGTCAAATGCTAGCAGAACTTGTGATCGGCTGGTTTGACTTTTACTGAAAAGATGGTGTAATGGCTCACTACTATTCAAGAAATTGAATGAGCTTTCTCATGAAGTATATTTAACTTGAAACAGCCTGTTCTAGTGTGACTAAATCTTCTGGACCAAATCAATTCTTTTTTATGTTGTACTAGAATTAGTTTGACCTCAGACATCTTACAAATGCGTTTATGTTACTCCTTCCCTATGCTGCTGAGAGGATTACATCAGTTATAACATAAAATATGGCTAGTTATTTTTGTTGCCTTGCATGATTTCAGAGCTCTTTTTTAAAAAAGAATCACAAGTCCAACTTCTTAAACCTTTTCTAATTACCAATTTAGAGTCTCCATAAAAATTCAAGTCCTACTTGTAAAAAGTTAAAAAAATACGTATATGTTTTTCTTCTTCAGATAATATCTCCTACAGCATTGTTTTTGGCTGCAAAAGTGGAAGAACAGCCACGGAAACTTGAACATGTTATTAAAGTAGCACATGCCTGTCTTCATCCTCAAGAGCCACAACTGGATACAAAGAGCGATGTAGGTGGAAGTCATGGTTTTAGAGATAATCATATGACACTTCATCTAATGATGTGTTACATTGTCTTGACTGGATTATTGCTGTCTGCAAACTAGGAAAAAAACTTTTGTTTTTACCCCATTTAAGACTTTTGTATTACTTAATATAACTTATTAAAGACTCAAATACTTGTGTGAAACTTGAAGAGATTGCTCCGTCTTGAACTTGCATTATTTTTAAGACTCCTACGTGTATAGTAGAAGACTAGACTAGATGTTAAATAGGAGGCTTTGTGCGTGGTTCCGTCAGTTACATAGTTTGCACAGAGGAGTTCACAACACTGTGTTTGTCTTTCTCAAGCAGAGGCTCGCTGTGCACCATTGTCTACGTTCTGTTTTAAAGCAGTTGTCACCTGCTGCCTCTGCTATACATTTGTCTTCCTTTCATTTGCTAAAGTTTGTACAGCTTCCACTTAATTCATAGTTCACGTTTTTTCTTTCCTGAGATGAGTCTTCCTGAAACTAAACATAGGAAGTATGGTGGAAACGCACCGGAGTTGTTCTACTTGAAGGTCAGGCTGAGCTAGTTATACCCTGCAGGACCTCAGCTGACGTATGAAACTATTTGAGCACCTTTGCTATGCTCCCAGTTCTTGGAGTGACATTGAGGTGTATATATGTATGTGTGTGTTTGAGCCCACTAGCTTAACACAGGCCAACTGAGTATCTCCAACTGTAATTTAAAGTACTTGTAAAATGGATTACCTGCCTAGAGAGATTTGAGCTGATTTGCACTGGCAAGCCTTCATAATGCATATTGCGTTCCCCTCCCTTCTCCTCAAAATGCTTTACTGGAATAATTATATGAGATCCAGACTAAGTAAAGCTTACTGTGAAAGATGGTTAGGCTGGTCTAGCTGAATTTGCACTAACACTTATACCGGAAGAAGAAAGTATTACTACAGTGAAGTGTCCTGAGTTGTTAGTTCTAACTTAAGTGGTCTTAACTTGTGTTGCCAGTACCAGTATTCAAATTGGAAGTGTGTGATTGAAATGTTGAGACAATAGCTAGCTACGTCTTGACCTGTTTGCTTATTTGTTTCAGGCATACCTTCAGCAAGCCCAAGAGCTGGTTATACTTGAAACAATAATGCTTCAAACTTTAGGTATGTCTTTCTATATATCTCCTGTGCAGCCAGCTTACCGTGAAGGAGTAATAGGGCCCAAGTATTTTTGATGTGGATTTTTGATGTGTTATTGGTACACTAGAATTGTACTATTTTTGTATAGAATTTTTGACCTGTGAATTTAGTTTCATATTAGCAGTTCTGTTGTGTTCTCTGGAGAAAAATGCCATATCTATGCTTGTGAAACAGATGTTTCCGACAGTTTGATGGAGTAGAAATGTGTACCCTTCCAAACAGATTTTACTCCAAAGCAGTAACTATGTTGATATTTCTTCATCTAAGGTAACATGTTATACTAGGTTAGCTGTGTGTGTGTTCTGAAGCGATTGGGAAGAGCTTTAGCCCAAATGCTCTTCCTGGTTTTGCCTTTCAGTAGAAGAACATTATATAATTGAGCAGGGTTACTACCTCTGAATATTACAAGTCGTAGTGTAACCATTTAATGGATTCAGGTGATTCTAAAATTTGAAGTGGAATGTTCTGATAAGAAACTCTTCTGACTGTAAAGTAACGGAGACAATTACAGCTAGCAGGCCTGAGAACACTGACTTAGATATTCTTAAATACCACTTTGAGCATATTGTTTAAAAAAAAAAAAAAAAGCTTAACAGTAGTGACCTAATTCTTAAAATAGTGTCGTAAACAAAAGTTTAAGTCACTGACCTACAAGTTGACTTAGTTTAAGGTCCAGAAATCAATGAGTAAAATGTGCATGCACACACGAGTATTTCAGTGTATCTGTAGTATAGCTTTTACTGACTTACTAATGTACTAGAAACTGTTCAGATATGTTCAAATTTAAAAATACATTAACTTCCCAAGTAGAGATATATATATTTAGGACTCGAGATTACTGAAGGAATGTTTTATTAATTGATCTTGAAATGGCTATACCATCTACCATTCAAATGTATGAAAAAGTGCAGAATAAAAGGCAGTTAAACAGTGTTACTTGATCTTTAGTGTAAAGGTTTAGCAAGCATTTTAGGTCTGTGGGGAGAGGAAAGGGGTTTAGTTTTTTATTCAACAGATGGAAATGTATCGTTCTAAAGCGTATTCTTAACTCTTCAGGTTTTGAGATTACCATTGAACATCCGCACACAGATGTTGTGAAATGTACGCAATTAGTGAGAGGTCAGTGACTTTTAACCGCTTCTGTAAGTCCTTTTTTACCTTTCTAGTAAAATTTGAAGGTGATGTTATTTGTCTAATATGATCTTTATCAACTATGTTATCGAAAGAGTTTGTTTAAAACTAATTACTAAAAGCTCGATCTTAACCTTTAGAATCTGATAAAGAGTCCAGTTCTCTGTCCTTTGTAATTTTTTTGCTCATTGGCTTTGATTTTAATAATGTCTAGTCCATGTTTTCTTAAATGACAGAAGCAGTTAGTAGTTGAAAACTGATATAGCCAACTACTTAGTATTGTGCTGGGTTGATTGTTTTCACTCTGAAGTAGTTTTACCAAGTAAAGTTTAGTCTGCATATTGGTTGGTGGCTAATGCTAGCTTTTTGCCTAGCAAATCTTTTTAGGTAATGAACTGCTATGCATAGCAGGTCTGTTATCACATGTAAATACTTTAAGATGGAACTAGTTCTTTTTCTGGAGCAGAGTATGCTTATTTGTTTTGGATGGTAGCACAAAACCCTAAACCTTTTGTTAAACAATCATATTCTCTAACTTGTGTGCAGCTCATTAATGTGACTAGCAAGAAACCTGTTTTGTTCTTTAATCTTTTGTGTTGAATTTTGGCACACCTTCTTTAATTCTTAAACTGTTTTCCTTTGGAGCTTTAAAACAGGAAAAAAAAAATCTTCTCATAAGATGGAGGATGAAAAAAATTAGAGTTTAGTTGTAAAAGCACTTAAAATAAGCTTTTGACTTTAATTATGTCCCTTAATTAAAAAGTGTTTGGAAATGATTAGACCATGATCGTTAATCTGTAGTCATTAGCTGTTGTTGCACTGAAAAATGCAAAGTTAAATGCTTCAAAATTTGGGGGTTTTTCTCTGTAAAATACAGGAGAGTTCAGTGCAACTTAATCATGTTCACTAGATCTGTTTGAAGTAATTCTAGAATTAAAGTTGTTCTTTGAGGGAAAAGTATCTCTCCTTCCTCATTTTAAAGTAGCTTACTGGTGTGGTGTCTTCAGAGTTTGGTTCTGAGTATGACTGGTGCTGTGTGTGACTTATTTGCGTATAAAGTAGCGTTATTGCTATTCTTGCTATAAGATAATGATTCTTTGCTTTCTGTCCAGATTTGATTGTGATTCAGTGCATATGTCTAATTGTGCCTAATGTCTCAACCGTCTAGAGGGTTTTGCTTTGGATTTTCTTAGCTGTTGGTCAATATAAACGTGAGCACATATTTCACTGTTTTGTGTGAGCCTCTGCGCTTCTGCTTGGTGCTTGGGGCTGTGGGGAGGGGTAACAGGCAGAATTGTAGCTGCATAAGGATTTCCACGTTAGCAAGTGCATTTGACTCGAACTTACAAGACAGACGTGCTGCTACACAGTCTTTATTTCCTTTAGTCAAGGGTAGACACCGCTCTAAGACAGTTCAGCTTTCTCCTGTGTATGCATGCTATTTTTGTAGCATACATTGAAGGTACATGCTATTTTTTAATTTTGACATTTTGAAGCTAGTCTTTAACGTCAGTACAGTTTAACAAGATACTTAGAATCCAAAATTATACCAACTCTTGAAATCTGAAGACTTTAGTGAGGGCTGAAAATCCATGTACCTCAAGGACTGGTACAAAGTGAATGTAATACATCTGATGCTTGAAAGCTTACTGGAGTAGGTGTGCTCCTTAGTATGTGTGTATGCAAATGGAATTCTTGTCAGCATACGCCTCTCCTAGGACCAGTATAGGCTATGAACCCAAGGTTTGAGTACCTCGTATTAAAAACAAAAACTAAAAAAAACCCCACCCCACAACAAACTAATCCATAAATTAAAACCATTGAGCGTGAAATCTGTAGTCATGCACGCCAGTCAGGTAAGTAGAGAATAATTGCCATGGAACATTAGTCTTACGTATTGAGTGAATAAAGAGATGGGCTTTTTGGCACATTGATAGATCTTCGAAGATGCAGCGGTATGATTTTAATGCTCGCTCTCTCTTAACCTTTGTTCATTGGACAGTGTGGTGTTTTACTGAATAGATGCAATGCTTAAATATCAAGTCCCAAAGCTTTCAGAATATTTCTAAGGCTTGTCAGTGTTAAACCTTTAGTGCTAAAGGGATTGAATGAGAAGTTAAATGCAAGATCGCTTCATCCAGTTCTGGTAATGTGACTTCTTGGACAAAAAGCACTGTTTCAGAAGGCGAAGAGATACCTTTTTTTTAATTAGATGTGATTAACTTATCCAAGACTATTATGATTAAAATCTTCACCTGTACGTTTGGGGGGAGAAGGGAGGCATATAATGTGGCTGACTAAGCATCAAAAGAGACAGCAAAGGTAGCTGAGGTATGCAAGTGTACTTAAGGGTTTGGCTTACCATGTGTGCACTGAATTGCCACATGGTGAGAAGATGCCCTGGTCCCTCAAACTTTTGCTGGCTAAACTTAAAAATTAAGTGGCTAAGAGGATGGCTGATTCTCTTGTCTTGCATCCAGGGTAACGTGCTTTATGCTGTCACAGTTACCTGTATTAATCTGTAAGCTACCCCCTTAAAAACAATGAAGAAAAAAAAATCAGGTTCTGATGATGATGCTCAAAATGATTCAGCAAAGTCCTTTGTCAGGAGACTGTCTAGTCTTGTAGTGGCATACCAGAATCAATTCCTGGAAGCCAAAGCTGAACTAGTAAGTGAAAATGGGTGCAAATAAACATAATTGCTTCAACATACAAGTAAAGAAAAAGTTGAATTCTTCATCTCTAAGATTGAAAGCTTTTCTGAAAGTAGTATTAGACACTACAGATCATTGTAGGGAAGGGGTGACTGAATGGATACATAATGACTTAGGATGTTCAGGCATAAGGTATCTAATTACTCCCTCTGGTTTTCAAAGATTCATGGGTTCATGAAATTGTTCCATCTTTACAGTTTGGTCAGTATAGTAGACAAGGAAAATGGTGTAGGCTCAGTCTTTTTTCTGCACCATTCTTCCTCAGTGTCAAGAGACTGAGAAGAGGAGACAGGACCATCAGTCCTTAGGATCCCACAGGTCCTCTAAGGAATCTGGAGGCAATGGATCTGTGAAGGCCTGTCAGCAAGCTTCAGTGGTCATTCCAAGTATGTTCCAGTACTGAAGAGAGAAGACAAGAAAAAAGAAAAAGGAAAAAAAAAAAGACAAAACCACCACCAAAAACTGTTCCTGGTGTCAAACTACCTTACTGGCATGAACTATCAGCAGTGAAACTGCCCTAGTGCCGAGACCATGGAATCATGACATGGTCCTCTTAAGCTCTGGTGCAAAATCAGTCTGTTCCCAGCCTGCTTCTGGTGGAACTTGAAGGGAAGGAATCTGTATGCTCATCTCCATCTTGGGAAGTCTTCAGTCATTCCTCTTTCTGTGTTGGTACACAACCTTCTTGTGGAACTGAAGAATGGATCCCAAGGATTTCTAGGATTGTTCTCGCTACTCTACAGGTTATCAGGTATCTTGAACATCCATGATCCTTACTAATCTTTTGTGGAAATTGCACTGTCACATTCTTCAAACGTACTATAGTATCTGTGTGCAGAGCTGCCATTGGTTAAATTGGGCTGATAAAGACAAGGCGGCGGAAGAGGAGATGAATCTGAATCTATTTTTTCGGAGGGTATTCTGATGAGGAAAATTTTAAATCTTAGTATACTAAGTGGTGCGGAAAGATCTTAAACACCAGCTGTACTCCTGCACCGCTACAGGCGGTTTTCACATTCTGAACTTTCACCTCAGGCTTTTACAGGCCAAGGCTTAAATACTTTCAAGAACTTAAAGCCACCAGAACTGCTCAGACCTGAATGCCTACACCATGGCCTCCTCCAGCCCTTTCCAGATACAGCAGGTGTCCACCAGCATAGCTCCACTCAGAGCCTGTGGCTTTTTTCCTTTTGCCTAGAAGGACTTCAGCAAGCTTCCTCTCTTTGGATGTTGACTGGCTTATCTGCAGCTTCCTCTTCCCAGGCAATGCTTACCTATGTTGTCAGGGTCCTGGGCACAGCTACTGCCCACCTAAGGGTGACTTGGCAACCACGTTTTCATGATTATCTCAAGACCCAAGATAACCTGATGTTGAAGAAAAGACTCAGATATCTTGGAAGTTGAACTGGTTGTGCCCAGTAAAAAGCATTTTGGTTTCCAGTTGGAAATTTCTTGGAGACAGTAGCCTTTTGGAAGGTGTATCAGACAGCAAGTCCTGTTTCAAAATCTTATTACTACTTTAGTAATCCCCTGCCTTATGGTTGCTTCTGCAGCAGTGAGACAGGGTGGGTGTTTCAAATCATTCCTGAATGATAAAATATAAAACTGGTGTCAGAGTCATCAGTCTTGCGACTTGTGAGCTGTAACAGAGAAGCTCTGGCTTGTTTTAACCTCTGCTTCAAGATTATTTTAATTTGGAGATGTGCTTTCCACTATTATAAAGGAAATAACATGCCAAAATATACGAACAAGAATTTGTTTTAATTTTAGTGATGGAATCTACTAAACCAAAGCTGTCCTAAATGTAAGAGAAGAGTTTGGGACAGTTGTGTTCAGTTGTGCCTTGTGTTACCATAGGCTTTAGTTGTGAGCTGAAACTTCTTGCTCATTTTGGCAAGATGATTATTTAGCTGTAAATAAGTTGAAACAGTATCATACTGCTTGTAGTATAGGTAAGTTATTTAGCACATTAATTTTTGATTGAGGCTAAAATGTGTGTTTCAAGATGTGATTCTTTTCTTCCAGGTATGTGTTTTGATTTACTCAACTTTGAAGCTCATGTTAAACAGAAGTTTTCTGGCATCTGCTTTTCTTCCTTGTTCAAAAGGGACATTTCAGGGAGACTAGAGATGCTTCTTGGTCTGATCCCTTAATTCAAACATAACTTTACAGAGTATAGAAATCATTGAAGGTCCTTTAAGCATTACTTTGAAAAATGAAGAGCATGACATAAATTTCAGTCTTATTCAATCATTCTGTGTTTTCATTTGTTAAGAATTTCATTTCACTTTTTCTGGTTTTTTTGTAATACTGCCTGACCTTTTTTAGATGGGAGGGAGAGGAGAAGTTTGAATTCCATGGTTATCTGGCATTAAGTTACCACTGTAGTTTGCAAACTAAATGTTATAGTATAATGCTGTCACGCTGTCAGTTCACCTTTTGATTATTATGGATTAGTAGAATTTGTGTGTAGGAATGGATCCTGTTACCTTGCTACTTCTACATTCTTGGATTACAGCACTCCCTGGCACTGTAGCATAAAGACAAATCTGATTTATACTCTTTGGCAATCATTAGAAGTCGAGTTAAATCATATTTTTAATATGCTTTTTAAAAATTAAATTTTAAAAGCTGTTGCAGTCTTTCTCAAACTTTATGGAGAGACTATTATTAAAATAAAAGTTTAACCATATTCCCTTTGACATAAAATTCAACAATACACTTTCTGCAGGTAGCACTGATTTCAAGTGATAGTGTCAAAGTAAGAATTCAATGAAGGCTGCATTCAATCTTCAGTTAAAACCATTGTGCCCAGCTATTCCATTATATGCATGTTACAGTAAGTTCTCTTTCTTGAGTGAGGAGCATTGGGGTTTCACTGGTAGGGGTCAGTGCTAGATGGCTGTAACGGCCCAAGCCGTTAGCTTTTCATTTCTGGCACGTTGCAGTCTTGTGTGGGGCTTTTTTTTTCCTGTCTGTAGCTAAAATGAAATTGTTTATTTCCTATTGAAGCTTTGCTGATGTGGAACAAAATGTTACGAGTACGGTGCTCTCGATTAGAGGGAGCAGAAAACTTGTTTAATTTTTTTACCATCTGGCTTGGGAGCTTGCTGTGTTGTAGGGCTCTGGGAGAGATGTGACTGTTTTGGGGGAGGTACTGGGGTGGGAGGGATGTTCTCCAGCTGTCCTGCCGTGCTCCTCTCGGAGAGCAGAACTTGCACTGTGCTATGAATTGGCTTTTACTGACTGCCTTACTGCAGTCCGAGGTTACACTAGGGGTCACCCGGAAGTGAGGGGGGGAGGCAGGTATTCCTAGAAGAGAGCGCGCTCATGTGTGAGGCGTTTGCGGGGTGGACAAGCAAAGGGAAACTGTCCTGTGGGTTGTGCGGTGGGAGGGTCAGTGACTGGAACGATTGGTCCGTCTCCAGTTACTGAATGTAATTGCCTCTGCCATATCTGGGGGAAGATGACGTTAAAGGCTAGTCAGCTAAATTCAGATCAGGTCTGTGAAAATACCAAGTGGTGCTTTGTGATGGTAAAATTGCTTTAATTTTGGAGTGAACCTGACAAGTTTGTGCATATACTTAATCTCTCCATTTTTGTTTTTCTTACAGCAAGCAAGGATTTGGCACAGACATCCTATTTCATGGCTACCAACAGGTTGTTATCCTGAACCTCTTTGTTGCACTGTTGTAGCACACTATAGCTTCCTTTACTGCAGGGCCCCCTACATGTGTCTTACCCTTGTTGCAACAGGAGACTGGGCCATCTACAGTGGTGGTACCTTCCTGTTTGCAGTGCGGTGTATTGTACAAGGGCCTGATGGCACAGAGGGGTTAAATGCACAATGAGAAGTGTAGTGGTGCTTTCTGATGACATTTTCTCGATTGTGAGTGCATAAGTCTAAAACTGGTAGCCTGAATAGCAGCTAAAGATTACAAAGAGCTAAACTTAACCTAGAAATTCGAGCATCTTGGTAAGTACAAAACTATTTTTAGTTTCCACTTGTAGTTAATGGCGGTTTTCTCTTAACTTTAAATATATTGATCCAATCTTAACTTATAAAATTGTAGCAGGTCTAAGATCTTTTCAACTAGCTGATTTTTCTTTTCAGATAGACTAGTAGTCCAATGTTCTTCCTTTTTAGAAACAGCTCTTTAATCTTAATACATAGTTTTAAAATTTAAGTATTTACATAAGTTTAAAGTTCTAGGATTCCAAATGGGGATTGTGTATACGTAGCCTGCTGTAGAAAGATGGAATTTGAGAGCGGACTTCAGTCTTGATTTCTTGATGACTTCAATTTACTTCTTGCAAATCAACTTTGAGCTTTATTTAATAGGATTACATTATGTGTAGATAGTTTTTAAGCCATTATCTGCTGGTTATTAGAATTCTTCTACATAAGTAGTTCTTGGTGGTTCCTTGATGGGCGAAGTTCTGTATTTGATACAGCTGTTAAGAAGAGCTGTGATAACCAGTGAAACTGAGCCAATGTCTTTGTGCTGCTGCCAGCTGGAAAATAAACATCCAAAGCCAGGCCTAGTGAAAGCTAAGTCCACAAGTAATTCACTTGGCCTCTGAGGAACTATTGGGTACCTTCTTCTAATTGTCTCATTCAGAGACTGCATAATCCGCTGTATGTCTTTTACTGTAGAATTTTAACTGACCATATTATACTCCTTTTTTTTTAGTACTTAAGTACAGTAGAATAACTGGTAAATGTATTTACTGTTCGCTGTGCTTTTTGTAGCAAAAGAAGATTAAACTTTTCTACCAGATACATGCCCTGTCCTTTGTTTTCTTAAGGCAGTAACATATCTGATGAGCCTAAGCAGAAAAATTGGTCCATGAACTAATGTTTAACTGCTGTTGCTTGAGAAGTTATCTTATTCTCTGTGCTAATGGTTGATTTGTTTGGGTTTTCTGTTTTACATGTTTGATTTCCTTTGGTTCCTCATTACGAAATTTGTGCAACAGTCTTCACCTTACTACATTCTGTCTTCAGTACAAGCCTACAGTGATAGCATGTGTGTGCATTCACTTGGCCTGCAAGTGGTCCAACTGGGAGATTCCAGTATCCACTGATGGAAAACACTGGTGGGAATATGTAGATCCTTCAGTTACTCTAGAATTACTAGATGGTGAGTAATGCTGCCTTTTCACATTTCGAAATTCAAGGGTTTATTAATGTAAAAGTAGGAGCATAGTATAGTAAGAGCACGTAGCTTTAAGCCTAAATTAAGTCTCATCAACTTCACATACCAAATCCTCAGGTGAGAGAAAGGTATGGGAGAGGGGAGAACTTTGCAAGACAAACCTAGTTTTGAGACCCTTTTTATTCCATCCTGTGGGCTGGGGAATCCACATTCCTTTTGTATGTGCAGGTTAGAATCTTGCTCTTAAATGCTTTTCAGAACCAGGAAAGAGCTAGAGATCTACCAGTGCGAACCCATGCAGTCCTCATCGTTTTACGTACATCACTGGTCCATGTTTATGGTTTCTGTCACTGAAACAAGTGTTCTTAAGGCTATATGTAAAAATGGCGTATTTATGAAGGTAGTTCTGTGTTAAAAATATGATACCTCAAACTCCTGTAAAAGTTTTTCTTGTTAAATGGCTTCTTTCCAGAAGAAAGCCTACACCTAGAAGACCACATACCTAGAAGTTTACTATCTTTAGAAACGGTACTTCTTACAGTGGAGTCTGAATTTCAGGCCTCCACATGCTGCTGTAGTGGAGGTGGTAGCTCCTGGGGCTTTCAGATCAATGTGTTGGACTTTGCCATTAGCTCTAGAGTGAAACATTTGTTTGAGGAGCGGCAGAGGCCTCTAGGCTTGGGACAGCCCAGCGTAGCTCCCATGCCTGCTTCTTCCCTCTGCTTAGCTTCTATTTCTTAATGGCAATATTGGGTTTTTTTGGAAGTGAAAACTTGAGTAGATGTGTGAAGCACAGAACCAGAGTGAGCTTGAAACTGCAAGTTCAGACAT